AGTGACCGCAGTAATAAACCAACATGCAATGAAATGTAATTAATGCACCTGGTGCTTGGGTTTGAAAAGAATTTCAGTGCCTTTTTATTTTCCCTGCACACTGAGTGTATTTTAATAGTTGGAACTTCAATCATCACTTCTCAACCAACCCTTTAATCATATTAATTCTCTTAAAAAGTGAACTATAATATTTTTTAGTAAATAATATTTCATAATTCAGTCAGGAGGGGCAAAGTGCAAACACACATGAAACTCTATGGTGCTTAGCAACATTTTTGTGGCATGAAAAAACTCTTGTCCTGTTTCTGTCAGTCTGGTTCTGCTGCTGGCATAGGTTTGTTTTCAGTCATGTAAGCCTTGTTGATCTGTTCCAAGTGTTTTTGAACCAGCTGGAACAAGTGAAAAGATCCCAGGCAAAAAATAAATTATTAAAATTTCTATCACTGGATTTCACAGTGTGTTTTTTATCTCACCTCTGTCCTGCATTAGTAATGAATGCATTTTTGTAAGGTTAAAAACCCCCAGGATGACATTTGTTCCAAGCAGACTAAAAAAACTCAACTCCACACTGGAAATGTAGATTATATGTCTGTGTTTCTGAGTTCCAGAAAATCACATTATTTTCAAATGTCTTCTCAGAGCAGAGATCAGACCCAATCTCATCAGTCAGCTGGCAAATCCCAAGCAGACAGCGTATTTGTGGAGAAAGGTCAAAAAGTCAAAGAGAGGGGTCATGGGCAATTTTTATTTTTGCATGGATATTTCTCAAGGGTGGTCTGAGGGTTGTGAGGAACATAAATCTGTGGGTGGACTTGTACACTGACAGAGAGGGATGGTCACACCAAGTGACTTCCCAATCTGGTGCTATTTAGTAGGGACTCAGAGTGTGCTACCTCCCCAGAGAGATGTCTGCTGCTGACACTGGCATTGCTCAATCCCTCTCCCCAGGCCTGACACAGGCGCAGATCACACTGTGTTCTGCCACCAATGGTCGCTGCTAAGACACAGGGAATGAACTGCTGGCAAGCCAGGGCCATGGGCAAGGGTCAGCCACCACCAGCCACTCATGAATGTGTTACTCCACCACCTTTATGGACACTGGCTACACTTTCACCTTCATCATTGGACCACCCTTTTAAAGCAGACTTTGGTTTCCAGTCAGCAAGGATGGGCTGCTGATGGTCACTGCCAAGTGACAGAACACCCTGTTGTCACATAGTTGAGGGTACAACCAAGACCTCTGCAATGTCCCCATCTTCCACAAGACAAAGGAAACTGGGAGAAGGATGGTCCATGTTGCTGCATGCTGCTGAATTTTCTTGTGTTCAGAGAGAGACAAAGAAATTAAGGAAGGCCTGCTGACCCCAGCTTCTCTTACTGCCTCCCTGTAAAGTTGCTTTCTTGGCAAGCCCCGTGAGAAGGGCACAGGCAGCACTGGGTGGGAGCATGGCGAGTGACAATGAGTATGAATATTCACCTGGTGGGGCAGGGCTGCAGAAGGGCTAATGGGGATGTTCCCTCCTGTCCTTGCGTGTTGCAGCATCCCTGCAGTCTCTTCAATGACCTGGGTCAGTTTTAGGAAACAAACTACTTAGAGCTGTCCTTGATGCCTCCTGACCTTTTTTTACAGCCACCAAAGCCCACTGACTGTTCTCGGGCATCTGACTTTACCCTTACATTAATAACCCCATCATGGAGTGCCAGCAGCAGGCAAGACACGCAATGCCTAAACCCTTGCTGACAGAACAGGGCACTGCAGGCAGTGCTAACCAGGCTATCCTGAACCCCAGGACTGAACTCATAAGGACTAGGACAAAATCACCAATCTGTTTTTTTACTTCTTGACCTAAGTCAGCTTTTGAGCCCAGGACTGCAGAGGTGAAAGGTTAATGTATTAAGCTGTCTGCTCTTCAATTAATCCCTAAATCCTGGGCAGATTTACAAACTCTTGGAAGATTTTAAATCTCGCCTGATTTATGAGATGCTTTTTTAAAGTTCAGATTGCCTTTACAGACGGTCACCATAGAGGGCAATAAGGATAATTGCTATACAGATTTATTATCAAGATGGAAATTTTAATTTCCAGAATAATGTACACCTGTCTATCCTGACACTGTGGCAAAGCTGAGCATCTGAAATGTTAAACTCTGATGTCCCTTTATTTTCTTCATGCCTCACTGAAGAAAGCAGTTGTGCTGAGGATAGGCTACGAGCCTGGCAGACAGAGGAACAGAAATCCTTCTGCCATTGCAGCAATGCAAATAACTTGTTGAAAATAAAGCTATACACTGCTACAGCATCAAGAATTTCTCTCAGATAATACTGTAAAAATGCACCTTTTGGAGGAAGCTCATTGTCTTTTAAGGAAGAACTTGACAATGGAGAGTTATGAGAACCTGTGCCAGAAGCTAAGGGAGTTGGCAGGCTAGTGTATTTGCATATGGATTTTCTGCATCTATTAAAAACCTGGAGCCTCCAATACACAGATGTTTCAAAATGCATTCTAGTGCATTCTCTGGTGCCCTGAGAATCCCCCAAAGCCAGGGAGAGCATAACTAACATCCAGGCCCAGTAGTCCAAGAAAAGCCTCAGTGCCATCACCACAAACACTGAAGAAAAGGCCAGGGAAGTTCTTTTGTTCCAAGGTAAGTAATCATAGAATCATAGAATTGTTTAGGTTGGAAAAGGTGTTTAACATCAAGTCCAACCCTTATCCCAGCACAGACAAATCCACAACTAAACCATGTCCCTGTGTGCCACATTTGCAGGTCTTTTAAATACTTCCAGGGATGGTGGCTCTATCATTTCCATGGGCAGGCTATTCCAGAGTTTGACAATCCAGAGTTTGGTGTAGAAAATTTTCCTAATGACCAATTTAAACTCTCCCTGGCACAAGTGGACTTGGCTACTTATCAATCTGCTCAGCTAAAAGAAAGGGTTGGATTGTAGGCTGAAGGCTGACACCCCAGTCAGTAAAGGGAATCCAAATACTCCATTTTATCCTGTGACTAAGAGTACCACTTGCCAATAAAAGACTCCATCTCCAAGAGATTTTACTGGTACAAAGCCAGTTACCTGGCTGTCAGACAATGGGCATGAATCACACCCATTGCTCATGATTCATGGCTGCTCACTAGGCTGAGCCTCCTCAGGTATTTCCATATCAAACAGAGGTAGGAATTTTCAATGGCTTCCCACTCGGGTGGGATTGAACCAGTGGTGCAGAAGAAAAGAGCCTGTGTGCAGGCCTGGCCCCTGGCTCCTCAGAGCAGCTGCTCACTGTTGCAGAGGAGACCTGTTCTAAAAGATGTCAGACAAACTTTGGTCATGCAGCCTTTGCAGACATCTAGGGGCTCAGTTGTTATTGTTGAATATGCTCTTTGTTTAAAAAGTGTAATGTCTGGGGAGGACTTTCATCCACAACAGTTTGAAGAACAAGGAATAGCTCATTCCTTTCTCTTCTGAGCAGACACAGTCCTCCATGCAGAAATATTGTATTATTGGTATTTGGAAGAGAGGGGGTGAGGAATGGGAAGGAGAAAATGCCAGGATCCCAGCCCCATCAATTGTTGTCAGCTCTGCTCTGGGAATAGAGTGTAGCTGTTAATTGCTGCTGCAGATCCAGCAGATGGTGGGTAAGACATTGTATTTAATAGAGCCCCTCAAAAAAGAGTGGCATCTGTTTGTTTAATTTCTTGGCAACTGAACGGCAGATTTAAAAAACAAACAAACCAAATTGGACATTTAGCTATGAACATCCCCCTAACAGATTATAAATGTTTTAAGATAAATAGGTCAAATTAAGGAAAATATCAATTGACACATTTGAGAAGTAAGCCAAACTTTTAGGTATTTTCTCTCTTAAAGATTAGATTTTCAACATATGGCAATGAAACTCCTTAAAGACGCTTTTAAATTAAATGTTGATACTATCCTTTTGACTATGAATTTGTCTAAGTGTTCATGGAACTATTACAAGCATTAATTCAGAAACTAATCTATTCTGCCTCACTCTGACACACATGCTGAGATTAAAATATGATTTCCAGATCTAGACACTTTAATCATATGCATCTCCTATATTTATAAACAGCAGCAGAAAAACAAGACAGAAAGAATTCCTCTCTTTAACAGTTGGGACAAGCAACTCTGAGGAGCTATTGCCATGGCTATGGCTGCCACAGCTCCAGTATTAATGCAACTCCTGTATTTCTGGAAATTCACTGCAGCAGAAGTTGCCATAGTGGAGTTTGTCATGGATCCATCTGTAACAGGGAATATGATATTGTCTCTAACAATGGTCAAACCTGGATGCTTTGCACAAAATGTAAATGTTCTTGATCTTTACTGTCTATTCAGGGATGAACCACGTGAAACCCACCCTAGCCCCACTCATTTAGCACACAGCCTTCCAAAGTGTAAGAGTGGATGACTCTCCAAGAATCTCCCCCAGTACTTTTTCTGGGAAGCCTTCTGCACCATTTGTCAGATTTTAGGCATGTTTTTTACTTTCCCATTTTAGAGCAGAGTTCAGATAGGATGCTTAAGCTGAGAAACAGCCCATGTGGCCTCTCTGTTTCCAGCTGCTGATCCAAAAAATGCTGCTGCTCACTTTTTCCTACCAGCTAACTCCCGTCCACGTTCATTGCTGCAGGCTAGGCAGAGGATTCCCATCCGTGCCAGGAAGCCATTCCGTGGGACATTTTCCTGGATGGCAGCTGCTGCAGGGCTGTGCCACCCGGGCCGTGCGTGCTGGGCCGCGCCAGGCCTGGCGCTGGCAGGGCGGCAGCAGGAGCCCCCAGCCACGGCTGCCAGCACTGCTGGGCTGCTCAAATGTGTCCTCCCTGGCACGTTTTGCTGATGGCTACAGCTGGCTGAAGTTGGGCTGTGTTCTGTTCCAGGGGCTGGTTTCCTTTCAGGCACTGGGTGTGCACGTGCTGTCCCCGGCAGCAGGCCTGGGCACGGGGCACAGATCTGGGCGTCCCTCAGAAGCGCTTTCTCACGAGTGCCGGAGGAATGCTGCTGGAATTCTTCCAGGTGAAAAAGGCCAGGGCAAAGATTCAGTTTAATCTCTGTGTGTCTGCACTGCCCGAGCAGGACAACCTTGGGCCACAGGCGGTAGGTAACTCCTCACAAAATTTTCCTCATACCCTCTTGTTGACACAAAGCTGCCTCCTCAGCCTATCCCCAACCCTCTTCTCCCATTTTTGTCCTATTCCACATGGACATGAGTGAAGAAATAAATGGGAAATATCAGCACCATAAACCAATTGTCAGTATTTTACCCTGGTGATTGAATTCTTCAGGGAAACATATATCTAAATATAGTCATAGGCTGTAGTCAGCCAATATTTTTACAGGTTTTTATTAAGGACATTTCAGATATATATCTTTCACTTTTGTTTTTATTTTTATTATTCAGGTCATAGCTTTGTGAATATTCCAGCTTTTAAAATAAAGGGAGGCTGAGTTGTTCACATAGTGTATACCTTGGTAATGTCTGGTCAGTTGTGATGAAGCAAAGCTTCTACCTCAGCTCCCCAGTCTCTGCATAGGGCATAATAACATGCAGATGATAATAACAGACAATTTTTCTCACTCATAGAAATAAAAACAAGAGCTATCCAATCTTCCTGTTATGATTTCAACATCAGCAATTTCTGTTAATTTCACATCAACAGAAGCCTAAGACTGTTAAAAATACCATTAGTGCTCTTATTTCAGATACGAGCTTTTTCTGATTCAAATTTTTATCAGGTGAATGGAAGATTAAATGTCATCTGATATGACAGTCCATAAGGTTTGTTCTTTTCCCCCTCCTGGCTTACTCTTAATAGAACTTGTATTAAGCCACTCTTTAAAAAAAAAAAATTGTTAGAAGCTGCACTAAGAAGACGCTTCCCCATACACTGAGTGGATAGTTGATTTCACAAATGAGGTCAGTACCATCTTGATCAAACAGAGCCACTCCTCCGACAAGAAAAGCATCCTGTAGTGAGTCAGGACATATGGAACAGACCCAATTCTATTGGAACTAAAATAAGCATGAAAAGGTCTCAAAAGAGATAATTTAAATGCCTCTCATGGCTCTTACCACATATCACATGCCTGGCCTATAAAAGGTTAGACTGGAAAAATCTACTACTATACCTATCTTGCAAAAGGAAGAAAAAAACCACCCAACCCACCTTTGTAACATTCTTAATTAAAAGATAAGGAAATATTCCTCCTAAATACTCACACCTTGCACTTATCTATGACACTTCTGCTAAGGAGCTGAAAAGAGAAGATGAGGGCTGTTATCTACAGTGGCTCAGCCTGTGCCAGGATGAGGAGCTAACCCAGCTGTCTGTGTGAAGCTCCTCACCACCCGAGGCACCCAGCGTGGCGTGCCGGGACTGCTCCTGCACACTCAGCTCCTGCAGCAGCTTCGCCTCTGCCTGCCAGTGCTGCTTGGCCTCCTGGCTATTTTCATGATTGCAGGGAAATGCTAAATACTGCAAATTCTCCCATCACCCTTTGTTTTCCATAGCTCTTCATAAAGAGTGCAGCCATTGGGAGCTGAATTTTAGAGTTAGCTTAGAAAGTAGCGGCAGTGAATATTTAAAGAAAGACTTGGGCATGTCTGCCCCTTTCTGTCCATTCTGCAGCTCTGCTTTCCAGCACGACTAATTAACCTTGTGATGTAAATACAGGTTCTTGCAGGAAAATACTCATTGGAGTGCGAATGACAAAATCTCAAGTACCAAATATAACCCGTGCATCTCCACGGAGATGGGAACAGGTAGGCAATTTTGCCTGACAAGCTTCTAAGATCTGCACTTTCCTAGTCAGCCTCCCTTCTATTTTCTACCTCAGCTTCAATAGACTCATTTGCCAATTTTTCCTTGATGATACCCTCCACATATTTGCCTTCCTCATGCTGGCAGCCATCCCTTTATAGAGCTCTCTGCACTCATTCACAAAAGTCAACTGGGTAAAAAGGCCCCATTTCCTAATTTAGGGCACACTCCTTGTTTCAATGCTTTTGGTGAGGCTTGTGCTTTTATCCAGAATGAGACACCATTGCTTTATGCTTTTTAAAAAAAATTTAGTTATTCTTTATTGTCCTATTATAAGGGAAAACCAGGCCCCAAGACTTTCTATTGTTCTTGATGATGTTTCTAATATGTGGTCATTTATTGCCTTCTGCCAGGTAATTATTTCCTTTTATAGACAAGGTATTTTGACATTTCATTCTTCTCAAGGGAAGAAGACTAAACAAATATTACTGTGTTTACTATAAAAGACAGTTGATTTTCTCCAAACTGACTTGAATTATTTTCAGTGCAGGTTAAAATTAATGGTGAATACTCACTTCTTTTTCTTTTTGTATCACTCTGAGATTATTTTCTCCCATGACTTCTCACTTACTTACTTTTCTGCTTTTGAAGTGCTCCATACAGGAGAATTATAACATGGTGCAGTGCAGGAGCAAAGAACAGCATTATGTTTTTCCCCAAGGCTGGCAAGGCCATGCAGTGGTGGAGCAGCCTGCTGGGCTCCAGGGCTGACCTCCTGTACTGGCTGCAGCATCACTTGGAGATGTTTTCAGGCAAAAGGGACCTGTTTTCTAAAACATCCAGCCTGACCTGTACCTTGGCAGCTACAACTTTGGGGTCTGTGGCTGCAGTGGGAAGGATGTAGCCAAGAAATTGCAGCCAGAGGAAAGGCTGTGAGAGTCACACATGGTGCCAGAGACTGGCATGTGATTAGCAACTAAGGCTGTTTTAAAACTTGTTAAAATGTTTTATAAATGTGTCTGTGTTTTGAGGAAGAACAAAAGAAACTTAGATAGGGAATCAAAACGTGTTTGGTCATATGCAGGAAAAGAAATTAACTGCTAAGGGGATTAATGTTTCTGTACACACAAAGTTTCAGATTCATTGAAATCAATATCCTCTAAGCTCTTTGCCATTTCTGAAGTGCAAGTCTTCAAATTAGTTTGACACACTTTGTCAGAGAGCAAAAAGCCCAGTCAGCCAAAAAAACCTCAACCACCTGAGCCCACTGTTCAGAGTAGTTTGTCAGCACTTCACACAAGAACTACTGAAATGAGGTTCAGAAGTCTTGAGCTTTTCAATATTTTCAAAAAACCAATTTTTTATTGCACTTGAAATACAAAGGAGTTGGTATATGAAAATCAAAGTACTGCACGCCTCAAAAGATAACAGAAGTTTATTACACTATAAAGGCTTTAGCATATGTGAATGCTTATTTTATCTGAACACATTAGCATAGTTATTAGTCATTCTAAATGATTAAATTTTCCTCTCATCCACCTAATCTGCATTATAAATGAATATACTAAAGAGCAATGTACTTTGTTGATAAAGCACTGACTTGGCAGTCAGGAGACAGGATTTGTTTCTGGGCCTGATTTTGACCTCTTGAGTTGCCCAAGGCTGGTCGTTTTGCCTTGAAATGCTTCAGCATCTCAGATTGACTAGTAATATTGACTGATCTGAACAAAAGCATCAATATCAATATCCAATCAATATCCATCAATGTCCAATCAATATTTTAAACTGTTTAACATAATTACATTATTTATTTTCATAGGAAACCCTGTTAATGATGCTTAATGAAAGGGCAGAAACTCTTAGGCTATGGATTTTGATATGCTTTGGTATTCATTGAGTGAATTTTTAATTTTTTTTTTTAATTTTTTTTTTTTTAGTGAATAAGGGCAGAGATCCCCCTTGCAGCAGTGGCAGCTCCTGTGACTTAGGACACTGCACCTGGCTATCTCTCCATTTCTCTTCAGCAGCAACTGCTAGAAAGGAATTAACTCATAATATGTTTGAATGAAAACCAAATAAAATTTAGTTTTGAACTGTCCAAAGTTGATTTCATTGTGGTCTTGAAAAAAAACCATGTTCTGCTCCTCAGTCCTCTCCTTCCCACCTTTTAAGCATTGTGTATCATTGCTGTGGCAATCTGTGGCAGCCTGGAGGTGAGTGTGGATGCCCAAAGATAATGTGATTTTCCTTCTCCTGGAAGTGATGGGATGGTCTCTAGATCTGCCTGTCTCCCCAAGAAGTCCATAATCCTTGGTCACAAACCACATGTGAAAGAATAAAGAGTTGACAAGAGCCCCACAGCTCCTCGTGCAGAGCAGCTGGTGCTGGGAGCCCTGCATGCCCTTCCCAAGAGGGCAGGTAACATTGCCTGATAATCACATGTGCTCACCAGGGAAAGCCCTAATTTTTCTTATGGTTTTACTGTGCCCCAGAAAGTTTACTCATGGTCCCTTTTGTGTGTTACTTACACTTGGTAACCATATGTAACTGGTTTTTGTTACAGCCAAGCCAAACCTCTGCCAGTAGGTGCAATAGCAAATGAAGTCCTTCCTTCCTGATAGGATGGGCTGCAAAAGGACTGTGGCAGTTTGCTTAAGTAGGGTGGAGCTGGTACCAATAAATAGTTGAATTCCCCTGGAGGTCAATAGTATAGAAAATGAAAAAAACCTCCCTGGATGATTGTGTAAGGATCACCTCTGATTTAGTCATATTTCCATGAAGCCTTGCTCCAGTGGAGTAATGCTCCAGGACTTCTTCAGGCATTGAACATAGATTTGTGTTTTACTGAGATAAAGCGGGATGTCATCTGTGAAAAGAGCAATTTATGTCCTTTGTCATGGATTGTGATGCCTCCAATCTCTGGAGACTTTCAGATAGCTATTGCTAGTGGTTCAGTGGACAGAGCAATCAGAGGAGGTGACAAAGGACACACTTGCCTTCTGCCTCTCTAAGGAAAAAGTCATTCAAATAAAGGAGTCTCCGAGAGTCATTCAAACAAATGAGTGCACACCCTCTGGCTTTCTGTGGGCTTAATGAACCCTATTCACCAGAAGCACAGCCTTGTTGACAAGCCTCTGTCTTTGGAGGCAGAAGGAGAAAGCCGAAGGAAAGTCGGTCAGATTTGTTTTCTCTGAAGGACTGGAAAGACAATTTTCTGCCCTTGCCTAGGATTGTGGAAGCTGCACAATCCTGGGCATGCAGCGACCTACTTGCTCTGCTGGCTCAGGCTTTGCTTTTCTTCCTGGGATTTGCTCTGATTTCGAACAAACATTTGCTTCTCTGCTAAGAAATGGGTTTCACACGGTCCTGAGGCAATCATGATTTTAGGAGAGCCTATTTGCTTCTTCCTCTGCCTTGTATTTTATATGAGGGCAGCAATTTTGTGCATGAAATAATTTCAAGAGCTGGCAGGTTCCAGAAATGTCTAAATTGTATGTGCATATGAAGCCATATGGCACAACTGTGCTTTGTTTTCCTTGTTTGTTTGGGTTTTTTAAGTTTATGTTCCCCTCCCCGGGATAAAGGACAAGGAAGCAAAGCAGCTACCCAGCTTCAGGTGCTAAGTTGCCCACTGTGCCTTTGATATACAGCCCCCTGGCCCATATGTACAGTCATGTGCTCACATAACTCTTCCTAACTGTGGGAAATGAAAAGGAAAATGTTAAATTTGGTAATATTTATCACAATCATTTTTCAAGACCAAGAGTGAGACTACCGGTCTATTGAGAAATGTGGCCTTTTAATAGTCATCTAGGATTACCCATTTATGTGAATAATAAAAATCTCTTACGCAGATAGAGAAAGTAGGGTAAAACTTTATAATGGGGCATATATTCTCTAGCACAGATAATGACTGAAGGCCTTGGACTTTGAAGAAATGTCAATTCATCAAGGTTTTGTCTTTTTTTTTTTTTTCCAAGCTCTCCATTTTGGAGATTTCATGGAAATAATTGAGTTTTCTACTATTGGACCAAGAGTCTTATATATGCATGACTTTAAAGAAAGAGATTATTAAATATCTCAGCATTTAATATCTAGATAATTTCATCCAATAAAATCCTGTGCAGCAAGTAATTTAAATCGGTACCCTATTTATGGCAGACAAAACTGCTCACTACCATCTGCTTCGTGGTTTTAATAGATGAAGTGTTAACTGCATGTTGCATAAAATTCATTGCGACTAGGTTAATTAAATGGCTGTGCTTCACTTCCTGCACTCTGGTAATAAGATGACAACCTCATCTGAATTTATTAACCCTTGCCACTTTCAGTACTGTTATCACCCATTCAACCACCTTTGGTCAACAAAAATGAAATAAATCACAATAACAGGAGACATAACCATATTGGCTAACAAAATAGATATTGATTAGCATCTTCTAAAGCAAATATGTCAATCTAGTCTGATTTTATTTTTGAGAAGGTCATTGAAATCTGCTGGAGTATCAGTAGAGTGAGTAAATGATGATGCAGTAGGTTATTGGAAAACAGTGCAAATCTAATCTTGGTGCTAAACAGCCTAAATGACAGCTTCACTATGGGAAGCTGGAGAGGCCTTTAGAGTCTTCAGCTTTCTATTTGAGCAAGCAGACATTAAATATCCTGCTGCAGCCTAGGCCCTTAGAGAGGGCTGAAAGCCAGACCTCTGGGTGTCACTCCGGTCAGAGCCATTTCTATCCCTTTCAAAGAGGGAGCATGAGGTAAAACTGATTAATCTACATCTGTGCCCTGGCCACCCCAGCAGTCTGTCAAACCTTAGCTACAGCAGATGCAAAGATTCTTCTTAGCTGTGGCCAACAGAAACTATCTGCAGGTGGGACTGGGCTGGTGCATGGTGAGGAGGGACCTGACAGAGGCATCTCCAGGCACCAGTTCCTGGAGCCAGCCTCTTCTCCACCACTTACACTCTTCAGATATTTAGAAAAGTTAATTTCAGGCAAATACACAAAAAACAGTCTAGTTTGCTCTACTGAGATTAACCAGGCAAGATCAAGACCATGCATCAAAGCCGTAGTAATTTTTGCCCTTCAGATACAGGCATTGACGGCTTTTTGGAGGACTTCCAGACATTCCCACTGTAGGTTTCCCTCTCTGCCTTGCTCTCACCTGGCTATCACTTCTGGAAACAGCTCCTGTGTCATGTTCAGCCCCCTGGTCTAAGTAGGCTGCAGACATTGCCTGTGAGGGTGTTTTTATGTGGCCTAGTGAGGAAAGTCATGTGGCTGCCTCCTTCTATGCACCAAAGTGGTGGAATGAAATCCAGCTCCGGTTCACGAGTTCAGCTGCACCAAACCGGTTCAACCTGTCTTGGGTATTATAGTGCCAGCACTGGGCTTTGCCTTCCAGGGACATAGATAAGATTTGTTTTTTAAACACAAGAGGGAAGTTTTCATTTATGCTGAGGGTTGTAGTTAGAAATAAGTTCATAAGATGAATCAGAATTTATAACTGTTTACACACCAGAACAAAATATCTTACTCCACTTGTACTCAAGAGGCTGCCAGACTTCCCCCATTCTGTCCCCACACCCAGCTCCCAAACCTTGTCCCTGCCCCAGCCATGAAGAAAAATAGCAGAATAAAAGCAACTTGCCCCATACAGTCTCACCAGTGGTGGGGACCAGGAGACCATCAGATAACTGATTCATTTCTCAGATGATGGAAATCTTGGTCTGATGTCAGCAGGCAGTGCAACCAGATTTAACAAAAAGTCCCTGCCCAGACCAGGGTGCATTCAGTTCCCAGAGCAGACTGGAAGTAGAGCCATGGCAAAGTTCTGGTAGGCAGAGAGCAGGATGGATGGCATACCTGGAATTTAATGAAACTGTTATTGCAGCTATGAGCTACCTGTGACCAGGAATGGTGATGACATTGGTAACCATTGGATGCTGTCTCTGAATATTCAGTCTTCCAAACACTTTTTTTTGCCTGATTATTGTTATCAATGAATAAGTTATTAAAAATAGTGAAGGACAGCCTGTGTTTCAATCTTTTCCTTTCAATATTAATTTAGACCCCAATTTTTACCAGATTACCTTTAGAGACATGAAGTTCCCTGACAGTATTTATTGTAGTAAATGTTGTTTGATTTTGAATTCTGCTTAAAGAAGCTCTTATCTTGTACAAGGAAGTAACATTTCAGGCAACTACTATTCACGTGCTTTGAAGAACTCGGTCTAAAACAGCTGTAGGTCTCAGAAGCACTTTTTTCTCATGGGTCTCCCTGTAGAGTCTCTGTACACAGCATTTGAAATGTTGGCCAAATGCAACATGTTCTCAAGCAAAATGGGTAACTTAGAAAGATGGTGTCACGCTAACCCAAATTTAACCTTAAAAGGCTGAAGTTCAGTTCTTGGGGAAGGTCCATGCATAAGCTGAAGCTGCTGCAAGTCCTATTCCAAAAGCATATGTAGGAAATACCCTCTATAGGGCTTGTGGGATTCTCCTGCATGAGAGGTGGATGGTGTTCACCGTAGTTGTTTCCTCACACAATTGCAAGACACAGACAAAAATATCATGTTTGGCTCATCTATGGGTGCACTTTCTGAGTAGGGCAGGTATTGTGTACCTTCCCCAGTTAAACGTTAAAATCTCTTCACATTTTCAAAGTATTGAAATATCTTCCATCCCAGAGACAACAGTTCAGCAGGGAGCAGCTTACATCTTCAATGGGGTGTGGACAAAGGGCTTCTCTCGACAGTTCCACACACCACAACAGTCAAATTATAGTACCTCCTTATGTTGTTTTTTTCCCCCTCACACAAGACACAATATTCTAGATGATCTGTGTTTTGCATCTCCCAACACTGCTGGCAAGTTCAATACAGCAGGGTGAAAGTTTTTAGTGGAAAGAAAGCAGGAAACAAGATGCTCTATCTAAAGCCAGGAGCTAGACTTTGAACGTTCCTGCTGTAGAAACTAGAATTATGGGATTTGAACAGATCCAGGAGAACATGTGTACCCTATAAAGGTCTTGAATATATCTATCATGTCCTGGAGATAACAGGGCCTTTACTAAACTTTCCC